TTTTGCATTAATAAAGTTCATATTTATTTTCTTGTACGTTGGGTGGTATGCCATTCAAAAGAAATCCCCACTCGTTTTCAAAAAGTGCAGTGGGTGATATTTTAGCAATATAATACGCGCGTGCTGCAAAAATAACAACGGACAAGCAATATCAGACGAATTTACCAACGATACCCAGACTAACAATATGAGGCACAATTCCGATAATCATTCACTAAAAGCTTCGTATAATTATTGCTTTGTGAATAAGAGCCCAGTTTTATATGAGACAAAACCTTAAAGTAACACAGAGTTCACTAGTTCTTTTACATGACCTCTATTAAATTCCTGTATAAATGCCAGAAACTCACTCTCTTATCAAGTTCTGCCCTTCCCTGTTCGGCTTGAAGGGCCTTCCGCATGCCGAAAGCAACACTAGATTCATATAGCGTTTGATATGCAGCAATGGTCATTCTGATCTCATCCCTTACGCGCAGAAGTAACAGACCTCTTTCAGTACAATTGATGGTTACTTGGCGAATAAGCTCGTCAAAGACCTGCGAATACAGCTCTCGCCGAATGGGACAAATGCCAGTTTCTCGAGCTTGTCGCTGTTGGAGGCGTCTGTCTAATTCCTCTTGTAGATTAACAACATCAAGACGAGTGGCTGGTGTACTCGATACTTGTTGAATCCACAATTGATTATTATCTGTCCATTCTCTTATCAGAGCATAAGCTTTATAATACCTCTACCTTGGAGGTAGGATCGAGTTCAATATTTCATCAGTTTGTTTAGTGTTTTTAGTGTCGCAGGGAGAGCTCGAGCAGGGCTTAATTCCAGTAGAGGGTACTGGCCCAGTATCTAGCACACTCATTCGAGTGCTCTTGATTGGAGGCCCCTAAATGATAAGAACAAATATCTGTCTAACATTTGGGTTTTTGTTATCCTGTTTTTTGCTTATTAGTACAGGTACGTCGTATTTAACCAAAGACACGTTCGGCGGCAACATAATTTTATAAGATCGAACGATTGGGTATCCAACACATACCCTATTAGTGATTGCCTAAAACAACAGTAGAACGATTAAATAAGCAAAACAAATTTTTTAGCACTTTTGTTATTGTACTTTAAGAACGCAAAATTATGCAAAAAATTCAAAGAACATATACACGTTTGCGAATTACAAAGCCTCACATTTGCCACTTTTTCTAGGTGTACTATCTAATCTAGAATTTTGAGCGCTAGCCTCGCTTATCCTAATAACCATAACATGCATTTAAAATTTTTGAACATGCAGTGGTGAAGCGTTCTAAGACATTTTACTAAATAAAGGAATATATTAAATGGAGCGAGATAACTGTGTTCTAGGAAGAGCAAAGGGATTAATTCTGATCTTGGCCAGAGACCTAGTCTGCGCATGCAATGGCTAGACGAATTTCAAAGACAATGTCAATTTCTAGGTGCTCATACAAACAAAGTATTGCAACCCCCTTTATTTCTGTACGCGTGAATACGATTACCGACCATAAATGGAAGAAAGTTAGCGCAAACCCATACTAAAATCTTAATTTACACTCTCGTCATCGACCTGTTTTATGACTGTTCCTGTGACTAGCTAATGGAAAACGACATTTTAAAATCTTGAGTTGTGGCGTCCCAAGACTTCTCACCGGGTCGAAGAAGGCAAAAATGAGGCTGGATACTTGTATTCCAAAGAGACCAAAGCTAATGGTCCTGAGCATGGCCCGAAGACCAGCTTGCGAATACAATGTGTAGCATATGCTAAGTTGTTTGAGTTGACCTTGGCAGGAGAGAGGCAAGAAACGAACACGAATCACGTGCGTGATATCGTGCGGATGCCCTCTCATAATGATATCTGCATTTCG